TATTCACACACTCGACGTCAGATTGTTGTTCAGCAAGTATGTCGATTCTGGCGACATTATGCATTGAAATAAAGAGCTTCTGAGGACTTGAGTCGCTTTACCGTAGAGAAACTTTGTTTTCAGCGACGAAAACTTTGATAGGGATTTATAAAAGCTAGGATTTAAAGCTTTTATCTGGTTAAAATCATAATAATATAAGGATATTATAAAATGTTCTCTTTTTTGTATCCTTATTCTCTCAGCCTAGTCTTTTTTGCAGGGGTTCTTTGAACAACATACTTCATATTCGTACATTTTCTTTGTTACTAGGTTGTTTACCTAACTTGGCATTGCTGACTGATGCATTTTGCAGACTGGATGTACTGACTAAATTAGTATATCACATATCCATTTTTCTTCCTATTAACTACATTTAGTCTGGAAATGTGCCAATCAATGGTCACAAGTTAAAATAAGTCATGAAAACAACGGCAGTGGACGAAGTACGGCCTATGTTCTTAAAGCCACCGCTAAAATACGATTAGGTTTCTAAAATATGGCTCATCCAGCTCTATAAAGAGAAAAGAGGACACAGCATTTTGGTCTACATTTTCATTCTTGGTAGATTGTTGGAGTAATGACAGCTCGGATGCTGTTTTTTCAGATGGTATTTGGTCGGTCTATGACCCGAGGCAGGCCTCTCATTCATAAACTTCACGTAGGGCTGACAACCTTTCCATAGTTTCTGCTTGCTTTAGATGGGTTCAGAATCAGCCCTTTAACTTTCGTTTTTACGTTTTCTCCTCTTTCCACTATTACATCTAAAATATCACTCATAAGCTCAGTAGCACCGTAAAAATTGCGAGTAATTTTCCGACATAATTCTACTTGAAAAATGAAGGGTTATCTAACGCATGCTGAACATTCTTTCTCTCACCTGACTCGTTTTAACCTTAGAGACTGCATTTAAAAGAGCCTTTAGCCCCTTTGCAATCTAAATTAATTCACCATTACATTCAAGTTTCAAGCTATTTCAAACATTTCAAGAATGAAAGAGGTGGCGAAACCCATTACCAAATCAAACGGTAAATAGAGCATATTTAGGCCAAGTGAACTGGATATTTTTTGCTCTCCCTTTTTCTTCTTTTCTTCTACTTTTTTTCTCAACCCACAGATACTCATATCTGCGGCAGCAAAGTCGGGATCGTGCATTGTCGATGCTCCTGGAGAGGCTGGCGATCGTCTGCTTGACGCAGCTGCCTGCTGGAATCATACAGATAGGCCAGATGCCATGCTGTCAATAATAGCTCCTGAAGATCACGTGGTCACTGATAAGGATAATATTGATGGGAAAACAGGGATTAGAGGAACGGAGGAGATGTGTTGTTGGTTGCCTCGAAGTCCAGTCACAAAAGCTCAGATAACCGACCCGAAGACTGGCTGGATGAGTGAAGAACAGTTCAAGATATCGCTTCGTGGTATTCCCGATGGTCTGGGCAAGTGCTAATATCTTGTCCAATTCAAACTAATTTTATAGACGAATCTCAGCTCGACGAGACTTGTCATAGTTGCATCAATCTATTCTTATTTTTAAAGTTGGCTGCTAAAATGTGTGCGAAGAAAAGTTGAGTTTCGAGAGAACTCTTGTTTCATAATCGTTGGGCTTACTTCCATTTCGAGTGAAAGTGTTTGTTGAAGAGATTCGAAAGTCGATTCCACCATGAGACGACGGTGGATTCCTCTTGACCAGCTATAACATTCTTGTTGACGCTATTTCCGAGGCAATCTCCTTCGATTCCGGTGAATGGGTGCTAAGCTTTCGTCCGTCTTGTGACGAACGTCATCAGAGCAAGATATCATCGTCACAACCAAATTCAAGCTAACGATTCAAAAAAAGTCACTGGCATATCCATAAAAAGCTGTATACATACTCAATATCTGACCTTTTTGATGAGGTATTAAGTGATTTGGTTAGTCCCAGTTATCTGTCAACCTCGGAGCATGTGAGTCTGTCTGTCTCTGTTTGTGCACGTGCTTGTATGTGCTTGCATATGAACAAAAACAGCATTTATCACTCAACAATGCTAAAATATAGTTTAGTAAGTAGATGTACTAATCCTCGATGACATTTTAGAGTAAAACTTCCTCGGTTTTCGCATATGAAGAAGAATTTTTTATTTTCTCTTAGGAGTTAGTGCCTATCTAGGCCTCTGCAATGTTGCTAAATGGTTTATAGGTTTGTCTAATTGGCTGAGGCTTTGATGACTAGTGCTCTGTTAAGACTTTCCTGGTTTGTTGATATATCTCCTTGTGACCCCAATGAGTCTTTACTTCGTGTTTGCTCACCATGAGTCACCATAAGTCATTTCCTATCTTTTGCAGTGTTGTTAATTAAAAAATCTCAATTTGTACAATTTTGATGAGTCTTTATCTCCATGACTCAAAACCCCATTCGTAACATTTAGAGCTGCTGTTAGGATTTTTATTTTTGTAGTTTGATCATTTATTCTTTAGATTTAAATGTCATTTTGAAAGCCCTTTGTGATTGGTTGTTATTACAGCATTCTTGCTAGTTTTTGATCTATATTTAAAGTCTGACCGAAGCGTGGTGATCCTATGTTTAGATATGCTCTTTAGTTTCATTATGTAAACAACTGAATGTGAAGAATTTTACTAAAATTCGTGCATAGAATTCAGTTTCTTTTGATTCTCATAGTTGCATCAATGTATTCTTGTTTTTATGGTTGGTTGCTAAAATGTTTGCGAAGAAAAGTTGTTCTTCGAGGAAAATCTTGTTTCATAATTGTTGGGCCTACTTCCATTTCGAGAGAAAGTGTTAACTGAGAGATATGAAGATGACAACGGCGGATTCCTCTTTACCAGCTGTCGATTGGCTCTACTGGAACTTTCTTTATGACGCTGTTTCCGAGGCAATCTGCTTCGATTCTGGTGAAAACGTGCTAAGCTCTTGTCTATCGTAGGTCGGACATAATCATATCAAACGGTATCATCCTTACAGCAACTTTCAAGCTAGCAACCGGCTCATCCCTAAATGCCGCATGTATATTCTATGTCTTGGTCAAATAAATGGTTGCGATAAACTTGGAATCGTAGTTGCCTAATCCTCCGTATGCCTATAGTTGAGCCAGATAGGAGCATTTATTTCTTTGGACCATCTCTAATAATGGTGATTTTAAGACAAGATATTTAATGGCCAAGACTGTGTGAATAATATAACTATTGACGGCGGCCCACATAGCCATACAGAACATTTTCTTCCGATGCAGATAAGTTCGTAAAGCCGCTTAAAAAGTGCAGTCTAATAAGTAGGATATATCATGTGGTATATAATTTATGCTGAATCCCAGAAGATGGTCCATATATGCTAGGACTATGTCAAACGCCTATAGAATCCCAAATGTCATCAGTTCTGGTACGGGAATATGTGTGGAATTCTACGAAGTTTCGGCGTAGTCTTAGTCAGAACAGAGTGCGGTCATATATGCATTACCAGTGGAGTCTTAGATACACCTTCCAAATTTATCCTGAAACGAAAGACGGACTATTCTACTTCAGCTTGAAGTAATTATTTGAAAAATCAGGGTTTTGCAAGGAATTTGATTGATATTCCTATTTTGTGTCATAAAGTTATTCCTATAACTTGCATCCACATTATTTCCTGAATGCTACATTATTTCCAATGCGATTAATTTTATTCGAGATTATTCGAAGATGTTTAATCATAGCTCTAGTTAGCCTAGGTTGCTTAGGGTGTGGTAAGAAAGTGAAACAAGAGGTTTTTCGATAAGTTTGTGAGTGGGCCTCGAGCTTCCACCTAATATCACATAGCCCTGCCCTCCACAAATTTATCGTATCCAGGCTGGACCGAAGGTCCAGCCATGCGTGGGTCCCGTCAGTACGGGAAACTGGATTAGAAATTGAGTTGTGCGTTTTTACGTGAAAATTAACAATTCCAAAGTTAATAATCTCTTCCTAGAAGAATTGCTACTGTCGAAAAGAACTACTTTTATCTATTCTATATACAGTCGTCGATTTGGCCTTATCGGCAATCAAAATAGGAATTTAGTTTGTTGTAAATGTCACCTCTACCCACTGAATCATTTTTACCCATTAATGTGTGATGGAGAAGTAGCGTGGCACCACTATATGTGCCCTATTGAATTTCGAATGCTGTTGGGAATGTTGATGGACTGTAGGATTGAGGTAGAGTTATTATGCAAGGCCTGCTTTGAGCACAGTTATCTCCTTAATCGTCTTGTATTTCGGAAAGTTAAGGCACCCATCTGCACTTGCATGGATTCCCATTATTGAGTTAGCATTCATATCCCCTATCGTATGTTGTTATAACGCTTAGCTTTAACAAACGGAAAATTGAAGTGAAATAATAAATAATGATAATTAATAATTAATAATGATAAATAATTAATCCATAATGAGTGAATAACAATAATTAATAATTCACTGATAAAAATAATAAAATGATATCAACAACGACACAGATGATGGATGAATTAGCAAATTGAATTTAGAGCCCAATGTCGGTTTTATATGAGCTCAGATTGTGATGATATTATAAAAGAAAAGGTTGTTGTGAAGCGGTCTTGTTGCAACCGAAAGTGACACTATTTAAAGCTGTAGTGAGCAGAAGCTTGTTGGTGGGTCACACAATTGTAGGAATGGAGGATGAAAAGGGCGAAACTAAAGTTATGTATAGTATAGTCTCGTCACGTGGAAGAGGTGTCCTGATAAGATGCGGTTTTCTGAGATGCAAATCTGAAATGTGGCGTCTATTCTCAGTCA